TTCCTGAACGTTTGGGATTTCCCCAGTGGGAAACAGGGAGAGAAAAGAACGCCTGATAGAATAAAACTGTAATTGCTGTTGTACAGTATTAGCTTCACATCCCATAGCAACAGATCTTATTATATTTTTTTCTTATTTAAACCATTTTCATGAAGGTTGTATTGTTAACTTGGTCCAGATGACTGATCAAAGCATAGTTTGTTATTGCCACCTTGATAAAATATTTTTAAAGGCAGTTTTAACACTCTGTGTTTATCACTACATATTGCCATTAGGCTATTGAGTCTATTACTAGTCAATCACGGATTTTCATTTTGTTTCAAGAGCTCCTTGGATAAACGCTTTAGAAGTGTCAAAAGAGTTGGAGAATCTGGCACCTTTTCGCAGATGGTATCCATCAGGTATTTTAGTTAATGGATAAAGTTTCAGTTTTCCGTATTTGACTTTTGGCACTAAAACAAGTTTTCTAAAGGCTCCTGCTCCCCAAAATGCTAGGAGATAGTAAGATGAAACCAGTAACACCTCAGAACCCATTATTCTTAGGTAAGTAATCAGGGAGATGGCAAGAGTATCTCACTGGGTCCAATTAGCTAAGGAAAGGGGTGTTTCTTGAAGAAGACTAATTCAAGTTGCCCAGCAGCTTCAAACCTATGCATGTACTATGCCTTCACCACTCCCAAGAACTACAACAAACAAAAACAAATAAACAGGAAAAACTGAACAATCACATCAAAATTTAAATTCTCAACTGGCTGGTGCATACTAGACTCACATCTTCCCTCTTATCTGTTCCACCTTAGCCTCTGCCCTCTCCATCCATTTTCACACTCATATGCTTCTTTGACACACGTTTACTTATAGCTAAGACATGAGACCCTGCACTAGATGGAGAGTGCAAGGGCAATCCACACATAGTGCTTCTCTCAAGAGATTTTCAACATAGTGGTGGAGAAAGCCAAGCAAACCTGCAGTTAGTTACCATTGGTTCAGGTAAGTGCTGCGATGGCAGAGACCCCGGGGGTGGCAACAGGATTCTGCAGAAAGTAGTGGAAGAGGTGGGCTTAGGGAAGTTGTCTCTGGAGGTGATGGCATTGAAGCTAAGACCACAGAACTAATGGGTATAATTCAGGTTTGAGTAGAGACTGAAGAGCAGGACCAAGACAGAGAACAGCATATCCCAAGGCTGGGACAAGGAGATCGGGAGGTGTGACTGTGGAAGTAACTAGCGTTCACCTAGCAAGAGATACCTAAGCCTGTCAGAGACTTAGGGTCTTTTTCTGAGTTTAGCAGGAGCCTCCCAAGAACTTGAATTCAGGCAGGAACAGAAATCTGATGTCACTCAGGCTATGGAATGTGTTCAATGGGAGGCGAGAGTGCAGCGGGAGAGCTGTTAGGAGGTGAAGGCCCCAGAGAAATAAGGTGGTGCCTGGAAGAAAGAGGAAGTAGAAAATGAAATCTGATTAGATTTGTCTCCACAGTTATGACATAATATAGTAAAAAGAGTATAACACAGTTAGCCAAAGGCAAAAGTGTCTGATCAGCAGTTTGGTAGACATTGCAAAGGAAATAAAAATGGGCCTCAGTGAATCGCTAAATGAGTCCCTGAGTTTCCACGTGCTGTGCTGTGGAAAGCAGTCCCTCTCCAACTCTGTCTTAGTTTTCCTGGGTTTCTAGTTTTGCCTGCCCAGCAGATTTGCTGCTTCAGGCTTTTTGGTGGGTACCTCAAGCATCTGAGGCTACAGGGCTGTGGACCATTATGTATGGGATGACCTGGTAAGTTTGCCTAGAGTTAATTGAACAAATAGTATCCCCATCCAATCCTTGTTACAAATTTCTGTAGTTTTTCTTTCACTGACTATTAGGGAGCATTACTTGTGACTTCCTATCCTTCCAGACCCTTCTTTATATGTAAACTGATATAATTGGGTGGGGATAAAGCTAGGAAGTGCAAATGTAAAAAAAAAAAAAAAAAAAAAAAATTTTAAAGAAATCCATTTTTATTTGACAATTAAAGGATCAGGATTGGTCAAACAGTTTTTATAGGAGAGAACACCAGCAACCAGCCTGTAAGAAATCGGTCACAGTTTAGGGGATATGTTACAAGCCAGATAAATAAAAACGGTCTAGAGTATCAGACCAAACTCTCATTTTTCATCTCTGTTTCACACTCTTCTCTTCCAGCCCAGACTAATCAAAAGAAGCCTCTTCCGCTCACAATTGCAATGTGTACATTTCCCCCAGATCTGGTATTCACATGAACAACGTGGTTTATTTGTATTTCAGCACCAAATTGGAAAGATGACATCATTCATTTACAGTCTTTATCCCATGACATGCCTACTCTCCAACACCTCATTTTAGCAGACACATTTAGGACTGCATATAGCATCTTGTTTAGCTTGTACATTCTTTTATGGGACACAGTTCAAAGGTAGGGAACTTTAGGCTTGTTGCTGGTAAGAAAATAATCCCATAAAATCACAGGAGCTTCCCCAAAGGATGAGGATATTACAATGTTTACAATAGCAGAATTATTATTTGTCCATTTAGGCTCCATCCTTCATTCTTGAGCGAATCCCTTCCTTCTGGCCCACGGCAGATCTCACAGCTTCCCTCAGGCTCTCTGAATTCTATTTAGAAGAAACAATTCCAGATGTATTAGTTCATGAGTTCAAAAGTACAGGTTCCTGACAGTACTGGAATGTTAGGTGTGAATGCCGAATTTCAGAATCTCATGTGCGATGGCAGGCTGGCTGAGGGGACTCTCAGACCTTAGCTTGCAGCAGCACCCCTGACCTGCTCTTTCTCACAAGGCATAACTTGCCCATTGGGTCTTCTGACACTTTAGGTGGGCAAGTGAAGGATGGAAACGCTCTCAGCTGCCAAAGGTTGCCTGGGATTTTTTAATTTAATTTTAAATGGATCTTTCTCTCTATTTTTATTGTTTTTATTCATATACCTTTTTTTTTTTAACATTCACTTTGGGGCCTTTCAAATATCGTACACATTTTTTTTTTTTAATGGAGTGAGTATATCATGAGACATCCTCTGGCAGATAGAATTGGGATGTGAGGTGTTTCCAAAACTTAACAGAACCAAAGCATTTTATGGGAAAGTTCTTTCTACCTGTTTAGCTGTGTGCCTTTTCTTCTAGCAGCAAGACAAGTTAAAAACATCTAGAGATTGAGAACTGAATGACCCAGAAAATCACCATGTCCTGTGTCGAGAAAGAGACTCTCAGGGCTGAAATCTACACCTTACTTTTCTATCTGCCAAATGAGGATAGTAATAATTGCTCCTGGGAAAGTATTGAGAATAAGTTAGATTGTATTTGAAAAATACTGTAAGAATGTAAAACGTTAGGTCCAGACTTTTCTTTATTGTCATTGTATTATTTATATTACATAATAAAACTCCAACTGGTTGGAGGCTCTGCCAACCCCTAAATTCTAGCTCTCTGAAAGTACTGATGGTTCATTGTCATCTTGAGCCTCCAGTGCGATTGTTATGGCAACTCGTGAAATGTCCTCAACTCCCCATGACCTTCCCTGCTAAAAACAAACATGTAGCTTGTCTCTAGGATGGAAACATCCCTCAAAATCATGGCCCCTTCATTCTTTCAGTCACTTATTACAGGAGGATGTATTGTATATCTACATCTGCTAGGCCCTATGTGAGATTCTGGGGAGAGGCAGATGAAAGAAATAGCTTCAAGGTCCACGGACACATGGACAGATAAATCTGTGGTTATAGAGCCATGGTACGCAGGAGGCACATGTCACCCAGCCTCAAGGATGGAGTCAGGAAAAGTCTCCTAGAGTAAATAGTTTGAGTTAGCCAGACACAGAAGTTAAAGGTGAAGAAAGGGGGCCAGGGAGGCATTGCAAGCAGAGGAAGAAACACATACAAAGGAGGAAAAACGTCTTACAGCAAACGACAGTAGTAACTATAGTAATTACAGCATTTGACTTTCATTGCCAGTTACTAGACTGACACTTGAAGTCCACCATATCATTTGTCCCTAGCAGCAACTACAAGGAAAGAGGCACTATTACTCCCATTTTAGAGCTGAAGAAATTAAGGTTTATAAACAGTTTGTCTCTTAAGGTCACATAACCAGCAAAGAGAGGGATCCAGGACTTGTATCCAGGCAGGTCTGTCCTCAAACCCACGTTTCCTGACTTTCTGTGCTGGATAATTGTATTTGCTTTTTTTCCTGTGGTCTTTAGACATTTTTCTAGATTCTGAGAGCCTGTCAGGTCAATTCCTCACTGGTCCATTTCTTGCCCTGCATGATAAGGCAGTATACTTCTATGGCCCTGGGGATTTAACCATGACTCTGAGTCACCTCATGTGATAGGCATCATGGATTGTAAATTAGAATGGTCAGTTCTTCTTACTTTGTGCTCAGTTCCCTCAAGGAACAAAGTCAGTTGGAATGTCCATAGAGAGCCATTTCCTAAGAAGTCATCATGGCAATAATCCATCTCCATCAGTATTTTTGCATTTGGCAGCCTTTGAGTAGATTTCTCTGTCTTGTCTTGTGAGACCATTGTTTACCTGTAGTTCGGTGTTTCCACCCAGCCCTTCACATCTTTCCATCCATGGCTTCCATCTCCAGCTTGCTCTAGAGTTTCGGTCTAGAATGTCAGTCATGATTGTTGGTACTCTGTGATTGCAAGCTCACCCTGGATCTCCATGATTGCTTGATAATGTAAGGCAAATCACCTTAGAGTATGTCCATTTTTTCCATTTTAAATCACAAGGAGGAAGTATATTAACATCTACAGATGTAACATAATAGCTTTAAGGATATGACAAAGCTTCTTTCATCAAAGTTAATGGCATGGTGCTTTCTTTATTAAGTTTCAACTTGACTAAGAGTGAACATTTCTGGATTAGGAACAAAGGGATCCCTATAGATACGATAATTATGCCCTGAATCTTTGGCTGATCTTCTAGCTCCTGATGGAATCTTCCTTGGTTTTTGTTCTGCACAGACCCAGAACAGAATGAAGTTGATGGCAGACAACTACGATGAGGACCATCACCATTACCACCACCACCACCATCACCACCACCATCGATCTCCTGGGAGGTCGCAACATTCCAACCACAGGCCCTCTCCGGACCAGGTCAGTTTCATCGCTGCTTACCTCCAAGACCCCTTTTACCCTTTGGATATTTTAAGATAAAATAAATAATCCTCAAGAAATAATAAACAGCATAAAGTGATATGTTCTTTGAACTGAAACTAATAGCTTTGGTATTTATTTCCATCAGTCAAGGAATCTAAATGTTTTTCTTTCTCCTTCCTCTTTAAGGTTTTGTCTTTTCTTGTTTATGTTATGCATTTTCTTTCCTCTCCGCCTTTCTTCTTTCACAGATACGTAGTCTATTGCTGGCTTGATATCTCATGGCGGGTTACTTTGGAATGTCTCTTTCAGAGTGTTAAGAGAAAGTACTTTGTTTCCATGAGCTTGGCAACCAGAGAAGCCTTGAGCTCTCTGAGCACTTTCCTAGAAAATTCTTTAGTGCTGCAAATTAATGGTGGGGTAAAACAACAAGGAGAGAAATCCGTTTTGCTGGCATTTTAGTCAGTGAAGTCAAGGAGTCTGGTTTATTTGATTTGGACCCTATCTCCTCCCCTGACTAAGTAAAGCACATGAAAAGATGGATTGACAGAAACAAAACCATCTGTGGTTTTACAGCAATATTTACATTCACCTACCAAATGCAAAAACTATTTATCGTGTTTAGTATTAAAACTCTTGAAGGTGAATTTTATAGAAATTAGGAAATAAAATGCAGACTAGCAGGATGATATAGTCAAGATGAACACTATCTCTTACTTTATTGTACTAAGATTCCCACCTACCCCCGCCCCCATTTTTGGCGATCCTAGTGTAACTGATACATTTCCATAGATGTGAGCAACAGGTAGCAAAATAGAACCATCTGGACAAGTATGCACTCCTTTGGATATGGCAGGGTGAGGACTTGTCAGAATTACCTGTGTGAAGAGGCAGTGTAACTGTTTGCTGGGGGAGGAGGTACTTGTGACACTCTTAACATGTTTCAGGTAGCTCTGTTTCCTTTTCACTTCCTGATGCTAGCATCCCAGAGAAGTTTAGAGTCGAAGTTACCAAGATGTTGTACCTGGAGTAAAAGTCCTGGGGGAGCTGTTTATATAGAACACAGTGTCAGAGGTTCTCCTGGGAGCTGTGCAGCGAGGGAGCCGGCACCAGGACGCTCCTCAGCCCCTGAGCCTGACCTGACCTTTGTACCTGGAAGCGTTTGCCTTCAGAGACCCCAACATTGCTGAAGCTGTTCACAGAGAAAAATCTAGATTTCTGAAGCCAAGTACAGAGAGGCTATGATTTCATGTTTTTAGCTCTCAAAATATGACTCTTGATTTAGAGATCTGAAATGCAGAGAGAGGTGTTCATTTCATGTCATTATCTTGTATGTCTGTGTTTTGGTTTTGTTTATTCAATTCTCACCCTTCACCATCACCACCACCACCTCCCCCCCTTTGCCTGCCCCAGTAGACCTGGCATCCTGCTAACTAAATCAACTTGCTCTCATTCCTGGTCCCTGCCCTTTTCTCCTTGGCATTCTCCCAGGAAGGGTGAGTGCAAAGTTTTATTGGTGGGAGCCTGCAGTCCCCACTTTAGCCATTCATTCTGGGCCACACGTGCTATCCTGAGTTCCCCCACTCAAACCCCAAGAGAGAGCACCATAAGAGTAGAAAGAAGGATCTGGAGCCAAGTCAGGAGAGTTGGTCACTCAGGGATCTGCTGGGATAACAAACCATCTTATCTCATCACAGAGACACACATGCTCAGATGTTCTACTGGGAACGAGGCACCAGAGCAAATCTATCTGTCTTGTGAATGATATTTCTTACGAAAGCTATTCTTCTGCTACTTCACCAGAGAGCTATAATCACAAACTAGGGTGTCTTGACTGCTTGGTTAACTCTCGTGTTTGTCCACTGACACTAGAGGTTGTCACAGGGTGGTGTCCTGCCCAGAAGAGTTGGCATTCCTTGAAGAGTGTCTGGCTAAGGCATGTTGTTGAGACCTTTGCCACATGTTTCTCACTGCTACTGTTGGGAAGATGGTGATGGTCTTTCACTTTCATATCTAACATGTCGGTGAACACTCTAAGCAACCCATGGACATAGAGGCAGTTCACTTCATCCCTTCTCCAGATGAGAAATCCAGGGCCCAGGAAGGGGGTAAACAGGCTGGAATCTTGTTCTGAGTTCCTAACCTAATTCCATGGCAGCCACTATGTGGGATTTGGGGAAGAGCATGATGGGCAGAACCCCTGTCTTCGAGGCATTTGCTGTCTAGTCCTAGAACAAGAATTCAGGTCATCTGATGTCTTGGTCAATTCTTTTCTCGTTCATGTCAATCAGAACAAGACAGATAAAAGGTAGCTCCAACTTAATTAGGAGTCCATACCTTAGAAACTTCCTCTGTAGTAGGACTCACTGTGAAAGTAAAATACCCTAGACTAGAAGGATATTTTTGTGGTTTTAAATGGAAGTCATCAAGTCAGTAAAGGCTCCTTTGCTAGGCTCCTTCAATTAGAGAAGGAGAGGTTAAGCAAGGAACCATGTTGTGAGAGTAGATTAGCACTAGTGCTAGAGATGGCTATGTCTCCTGAGCTGGATGCCCTTTTTGACTGGGCATCCCAGGTCTAGTGAAATGTACTAGAAGATTTGAGATTTGGTAATCAACAACTAATATAACTGTATATGTACTGTTATAAATCTAAGCCCAAAGTAAAATAGTTATCAATAGATAATAGTTATCTTTCCCAATTGATTAGAAACCCTACACTTAATTGTGTAAACCACATAGACTAATACAGACAGGGTACATATGATTATGTTTCTTCTTAGGAGAAAAATGACAGCCATATGACAGCATGAGAGTCCCAATAATAGGGTGATATGGATGAGAGTTTACTAAATGTTCATAATGTACTCATGTTAGCTGGCCTGACTTAAAGAGGAAAGGTCTCTTCCAGGGATTCCTGATTCCCTTTCCATGAATCTTCCAGCCCTAGCCTTCCTGTGGCCCTAAAGGTTTGACCAACAGTGACTTTTGGAAGAAGGGCTACAAAATGTTGACATTGCCTCTTGAGCTTTATTAAGATATCAGAACACATGAAAATGGAGAAATATGAAAAATCAGTTGCTTTCCTACTTTTCCAGAAAAACTCATTTTTCCTTAGGTAATTCAATTTAGTTATTGCCAGGTACTTACAGAATTATATTCTTTTTCCATTTCTTCCATGTTCCTTTCTCTTTCACTATTATTTTTCTTGCTCCTTAAGAGAAGCTGAATCCAAGTATTATAAGTCTAGACTAGCATTTCCCAAAGTAACTTTTAGAACATTAGTCCCATGAGGAAAGTCTTGAAACAAAGATTCTCTGGGCAAAGAATTTTGTGAAAGTACTGCATATTATAACTCTATCTTTGAGCGTCCTGGGGCAATTAGCAGATCAAAGGATCTAAAAAGTCATATAAGAAAGCAAGCTCTCCAATTTAACTTAATCCAGTATTTCCCAGACTTCTTTGATTGTAGATTTCTTTTTCCTTTTCTGTAACATCTGTGCTCTGAGAAATACTGTTCTCAGAGTATCAGGTGAAAAGAGAGACTACCCATTTTAAAACATGACTGATTCAGTTTCCAGCAGTGTTTTTTTTATCAGAAGGTGGAATTTTCAGGCAACTTCATGCTTTGCACAACAGAAAACGGAAGTGCCTCTTCCATTCATTTCCTGGATTACCTTCTTAAAGGCTGTAATATCTGAGAATGAGTGATCCCACCAAGAACCCAGTAGATCTAAACTAAGGAAGTCATTAAGGTTGAGGACCCAGGATATCAAGAACAGTCATAAATACACAGCCCTCCAGGGATTACAAGTGAGTGTGATGAAAGGGTGGCAGGATTTGGAGAAGATGTAAGAGAAGTCAGTGCCTTGTGGTAGTCCAACAATGTAGCTCCCTACCGGAGAGAGAAGCATTTAATAGCTGATAGGCCATGACCCCCAGGATGGCCACAGCCATTGAATATGTCCAAGTAGAATATCCAGACAAATCCCAATAATGACTTAGGAAATCCCTCAAAGCAAGAAGTGGCCATGGAGACACATTCGAGACTTTTTTTGTGGTTACCAAGATTAATTTCACAAAGCCAAGTAGAAATTCAGCTTTTCCTAAATGTTCCCTGTTCCTGTTGTCATCAGTCTCATCTGTCATTTTCTTTAAATAGCATCCTTCCCTGCCTTAAAACCTATCAATGATATCAAGTCCTTCTACTATCCTTTTTCTAGGCATCGTACAATTTTTACTGCCCTAGGAAAAGTCATATTTTATTAAGCTCATTACAGTGGCTCCCAGATATAGACTACCCTGGTCAGTAAGAAAAGCACAGCATCAGCATGCCCTCCACACTCCAGCCAACTTAAAATGCCAGGCGCCATGCAGGCTACCCTTTTTGCATTTAGGACTCACATTTCTGTTCCTGGGTCTTAGGTTGGGTGCTGGGTCTTCAGGGCCTTGATCTCACTGCTCGTTTGTGCAAAATGTACTTCTATTTGCCAAAGTACTTGCCACCCTGATTCTAGTTTGGAGGGGCCTGAATGGCAACGAACCTAAACAATTCAGGACTGAAAACCCCAGAATAGGTGGCCACTTTTGAAAGCCCAAGAGAAAACTCTCCTTTCCTCTTCCTCTTTCATTGAATGAAAATACTTGCTCATAGGTGTTGGAGAGCTCGAGGGATTTTGACCACTTTTAAGACTTTCTGATCATATTTAAATTTTATATTTTACTTCCAGAAAACCTACTTCTAAACGAGGGCTATGAGTTTAGGAGCATAGAGACATGATACTTACAAGATCAATTACAGAAAAATTTGGTTGAATTTCCCATTTTATATTTGGTTATTTGTTGCATGTTCACATGCGTCTGGCCCTTACTAGGTACTCTGTATATGTCTGTCGAATGAACTGCTCCCATAGTTGCTTCAGGAAATAGGAAGGGCAGATGGAAGTATCCCCATTGTATAAACAGAGAAACTCAGGTTGTTAATGATCCAGAGTCACAAAACT